GGGGGGGGGGGGGGGGCGGAGGGAAACCGGGGGGGGGGGGGGGGGGGGGGGCGGGAGGGACTTGGAAACGTTAGATACAATGCGGACGGGAAGAATGCGGGAGTGGGGTGGGCTAACGCGCGAGCCAGAAATCGGAAACGCCGCTTTATAACTTGGCCTAGGTGCAAGCTTGCTCCTCCTGGCTCGTTTTCAAGCGGCACGATACCAACAGCAACAAACAAGCAATCACACGGGACCGAACAAACAACACAGGTGCCGCAAAAACACATGACAAATTCACTCCCTCGCCCATGCCCGTTTTCATCGGCGTCGACAACCATCATGTCAACAACAACAACAACAACTAAATCACAACGGACCCAACAAACAACACGGGCGCCGCAAAAAACACGACAAATTCACTCCCTCGCTCCTGCTCGTTTTCAGTGGCAACGATATCAACAGCAGCAACAACAAACAATCAACAACAAGGGGACCGAACATAGCGCCGCAAAAAACATTTTTCAAAATTCACTCCCTCGACTCGCGCAAAACGTACCTCGACATTCCGGTTCAACGACAACAACACGTCCCCCGTCCCCCCTCCGCCGCCGCCATCTCCATCCTCCGAATCCGCGAACGGCGACAGCAGGCTTCGGCCGGAGAGGGACCTGTCTCTCGAAATCCTCCTCCCGGACCCGACCGACAAGAGAGCATCCCGTAAGCTGGGGCAACGCTTGATTCCACGGGCCCCCTCGGATTCCAGGTGCTCCCGCATTCCCTTCTCGATGGTGGTGGGTGTACGGCGGCGTGTGTGTTTGTGTGCGTGGGGATATGGGGGGGGGTGAAAGGACACAGGGGGGTAAAATTGGTGATGCTCCCGCGTTCACTTTCTTGCGTGGTGGTTGTACGGCAGCGGTAGTATCGCTTGTGCGATTGTTAGGGGGCGGTGAAAGACAGAGGAGGATCAAAATAAGCGATGCTGCCGAATTCCCTTTTCGGTGCGGTGGGTGTACGGCAGCAGCAGTATCGCGCGTGTTTTTTTTTTGTTTTTTTGGGGGGGGGGGGGTTGAAGGACACAGGAGGATGGAAATAAGCGCCAAGACCAAGACGTAGGACTGGGGTAGGCTGCTCTGCTGTTCACCATCCGTGACTCGAGACGAAGGGAATGATGCTGGTACGGAAGAGGAGGGGGGCGATCGATGCGAAGGAGGAGGTGCCGGACGCTGAGCCCAATACGCAGGGGACACGAGTGGGAGCCGGAAAGCTCTCACGCAACACAAGTAATAGGCGGGGTTGAGAGCTGCGCACCATCAGGGGGTGGTGGGAATGCGGGAACAGCCTTTGGCCACGACATTATCTCAGAGTCATGACCAACGGACGCCAACTCTTTCTCCTACAGCGAGGTCGGATTGGCAGCGGAAGAAACGGAGGGGGTGTTGGAGGGACATACAACCGTTGCATGCCCCTCCAAAATCGCGTCCAGATTTTCCGCTGCTAGTCCAACCTCGCCGTCGAAGACAGAGTTGCCGTCCACTGCTCCTGGAATCAGGGAATATCCCGTGGTCGACGGCGGTTGTTCCCGCATTCCCACCACCCCCGACGGTGCGCGTCTGTCAACCCCGCCTGCTTGTCTTGCGTGAGAGATTTTCCGGCTCCCAACCCTGTCTCTGCGCGCTTAGCTCAAGCGTCCGGCATCTCCTCCTTCGCGTCGATCGCCCCCCTCCTCCTCCGTACCATCATAGCGTCGTGTCGAGTCACGGACGGTGAGAACGCCTGGTGGGCTGTATCACTACATGTGCCTTACTCGAGAGCGCCAAACACCCTCCCCCCTCCCCCTCCCCTCTCACCACGACTTGGAAGGCCGTTGGAACGCCGATGCCGCTTCGTGGCGGCTTGTCCACCGCCACTCACGCAACTATGCTCGGCAGTGCCAAAGGACCCAAACCAAGCAACAATGGAGGCCCAACCAACGAACCGTTACCCTCGGTCCTCTGTGAAAAATTCTCAAAAATCATACCACCACCACCATGTAAAATTCTCTCCCCTGCATTTTTTCCCGATAAATGTCATGTGTATTTCCTCTGTTTTCCACACCTCGAGGAACACGACCGAGGCCAACCAGTAGCCAAGCCTTGGTCCTGTCGGGGAGATTTCTAAAAAAAAAAAAAACTGTGAATGGGCTCTACTCCTAAAAGAGACAATCCCTGACGTGGCGGACTCGACCACACGGAAAATCTATTATATCAAATCTCTCCTCTTTTTGTTGTATTCCCCCCCGATATTTTAGTTGTTTGTTATTTAAATCGTTGTTCTCGATTGCTCCAAATTTTAATAGTGCCGCCCCCGGTCCCCCCCTCGCCAAGGATGCGCCACGCCCCAGGAAGGACGAAAACCTGTTCCGGCAGGACAAGGATGACTGATGACCACTCCGCCGACGACGCACGCCGCATTCCATGACGACGAGGGGTCGACGTTTCAGTCGTTTTGCGGAAGAAACGGTCTTCCACATCGTGGTGGTGGTGGGGGAGACGTTTGGCGGTACAACAGCGATACGGCCACCAGGCGTTCGCCGTCCTTGGCTCGACACGACGCGACGAAGGGGATGATGCTGGTACGGAGGGGAGGGGGGGGCGATCGACGCGACGGAGGAGATGCCGGACGTTGAGTTCAGCGCGCAAGAACGCGATTTGGGACCCGGAAAATCTCTAACGCACGGCAAGGAGGCGGGGTTGACAGATGCGCACCGGGGGTTGGTGGTGGGAATGAAGGAGCAACTGCCCGGCTACGGCTTTGTTTCCCGACCGCTGGAGCAACCGACTCCAACTCTGTCTCCGACGGCGAGGTTGGATGGACCGCGAAAGAGTCGAACGCGATATTGGAGGTACATACAACCGTTGCATGTCGGACACGCAACGGTTGTCGCTT